TACTGTATATAAGATTTACTCTTAAATTTATGAATTAATCTTTTATACACTGACAGTATATACATTATCACTATTGGACACATGACAACTCATCTGAATTTAAATTTAAAATTCAAATTTTATTAATGTGTTATATATTCGACCATGAAAGTATATACACGTCAGCATATATAAGATTTATTCAAAATCTATTACGGACTGTTTGCACTGATACCCTACGAAACATCAATCCTATATCAAATTGGATTCTTTCTAAAAAAAATTAAAGCCATAATCCAGTTTAATTTTTTTTTAACTAAGAACATATTTCTTAGATAATCATCAGAAGTAGTACGTGATCTGTGGTAATATTACAAAAATCTGGTGTTCATGTTCGCCTCCTCACTGCTTGTGTTGGTCAAATGTGGTAGGCCAAGATGGCCAAAGAATGAAAAAACTAGCCAATATTATCCAATTTGATCCTTTTTCACTTCTCAAAAACTAGAAGGTAACAAGAAATTTCTCTAAGTCAAAAAAGATTTCTAGAACAGTCGTCTTTAATTTCATTAATTTCGATTACAAAAGAGAAAACACAAAAAATCGAGAATCTTATCTTAAGAGGTCAACATTTGATTTTTTTTTTTTAATTCATTCTAATAATGGAGAATTCAGGTTGACCAGACCAGAAATCCCCCAAATACCGACACGCGCAACGCGTTTGGCAACATTATATGATAAATGGCATTTTGGATAATCTGACCATTACTTGGGGTGACAATTTAATTGTGTCTAAGATGGAAAATTATACGATTGCGATGAAGGATCATGACGTGGCCAAACGGCAGAGGTTACAAACCTTTTAGTTCAGGCGGTTACGGTTGTTGACGGTCGGCTGACGGCAGCTTATGCGTGAAGAATCAGATTGCTTGCCACGTGGCCATGATTTTATTTCTCCTCCGACCAACTTGTGCTCTTTCCATTGGGTAGTCGACCTAAGCATATTCACGTTTAGATTTTATCCACACGCTTGATCATTTGTTGGGAGTTTTATCTTTTTTTTTGGTTACAAGTACTTGAATTTCACAAAAATTCATTTCAGGGTACATGGGTTTTAGGGTTAATACCTAGTTCAAAATTAATGTATAACTTGATCAAATTTTGCTAGCTCAACAATTGATCAGTCAAAGGTAAGAAAACATAAGATTAACGAGTTACTTAAATTTGTCTTTGTGACCATCTGCTCGAGTTACTGAAATGCTTAACTATGGGTTCTAGAACACTATAAATCGTCTAATATTGAAATCAAACATGAACAACATAGCGTTTATTAGTCTAGGTTGATTTCTCTTGGTTTTTTTTTTCCTTTTTTCTCTTTTGGGTAGCATAGAGATCTAGTTTTGATTATTCTCTTATATATTTCTTTACATTTCTTTGTTTCTTTTTATGACGGTGTTGATGATCAAAATAGCACTACATCACATATAATAAGGGTAGCATATGTTAGACTTTAGAAAAAGTTTGCATCAGTCATCTATCCCTCGAAAAAGCCTATCAACTGTCATAATTTAACTCAAGAAAATTTTGTATGTTGTCTAGTAAAACAATTGCGTCACTTGAGAAAAAGGGCTATTGTGGAAATAATGAAAAAAAGAAGCCTGTAAGCTAGAAATTGAGCAATTTACTTTGGAAGAGCATCTTGCTAGCAAACAATAATGGAACAAGATCAATGCCAAAAATTTCAACCAAACATACTATAAATTTGTGCTGAGACCCATGTGACACATCACATACACAAGATTCACAAGTTCTGTTGCATTGAAAGGCATTATTCTTGGTTCTTGATTGTTTCATAATTTTTTTGGATAAGCAATCATGATTATTTTGACATGTGTCACCTAAGATTTGCTAAAACATCACTTTCTGCTAGATTTGCCCTTTTGCTTGTGAGTCCAAGGGAGATTCATAATGATGCCTTCCAGCTGAATCCAATCTTACTACTTGGTTATGGAGATTTGAGAATTCTTTATACATACGTTTAGGGTAATTTTCATTACCATGTAGTCTTACAATTGTATATTGCTTGTAAACCCAGCAAATTGGGAATCATAACTTATGCAATATGCTTGGGAATTACTACAACTAAGCTAGAGCTTCCTTAAAAGCCTTCCTACAACAACGCCTTTCTTCTATTATGTGGGTTTTGAATCATGTTTTCTCCTTGAAATACCCATAAAATATTCATGACATGGTGTAAACCATATAGAAATTAGAAAGTTGTAGATCAATTCCCCTCAAGAACTTCTTAAAAGAAGAATTTGTAAATTTTGTACGATCAGCCGTTCATATATCTTCATATTTTTTTTTCGAGAATTTATATAATATTTGATGATCAATAAATTTATGTGAAATCATTTCAATTTTGGAGTACTTTTAGGTTGAATTCTATAGATATATAATTTTTTCAGGTCTTTTACTACAGTTAACCCTAGACAATAATTGAGCATTATTTTCTGTGATAGATTCTACCTTGCTTTTCTAAAGTGTGTGAACTTTGAAAATGAACAATTGGCATAATAGTTGGCCGTTTCTCGAATACATCTTTTAGATGCTTATGCACTAAGTTTATTGAAAATCATTTCGTTTCTTCAGTTGTAAGTATAAACATGAAAAGGGACAATTTACGTAGTACTCTATAACTTTACAAATTTGAGTCCTTGAAAAAAAAAGTTCTCTGTCTTTTCCAATAATTACTTCAATGATTGGAGCGAAGTACGGCGAAAAAAAAAACGATTAAAAGCAGAGTCTAAAGGCTGCAAAGCCATTGGTGTCCTTAAAAATATCAAGGACCAAAAAGTAGTGCCGTATTGAAGTAATGTTTACCTAAGAAATCAGAAGTTGCAACTACTTAAGTAATGCTTAAAATAACATAATTAACTTTAACTTCTTACAGTTTTCTATTTGGCATGCAATCTAATCCCTGCTTTGTTCTGCGGGCTTCAAATTCTCTGTACCCAAAATAGTCTCTGTTCCCTCTGTCCCTTATTTATACAGCTGCTATATGTTCCTAATCTTTTGTTAACCCAAATTAAAATAAATCAATAATAATTGATTTACAAGTTTTGTTAGCTCAAACGCAAGCAATGAAAATGCAGAGCAATGAAATCCTAATCCATATAAGGTAGGATATTGACATCCAAGATGTTTGGCAACTTAATTCCATTCTTGCTCTTATCTTTTGCACCTGGTAGATTATCTAACAATAAGTGACTGTGTCAAATCTCAGAAGATTTCTTCTCCACTTTGACTCATTAATTTGACTGTAATTATCCCTAATAACGTTGCTAATGAATTGTCTTAATTGTTCAACCAAACAGGGAATGAGACTCAGATTTGTGAGAAAAACAGATAAACTTCAATTAACGCAATGTCAAATTCTGTACCATCAATGCATTTATTTAGTATAATTGCTATTACTCTTCTAACATATTCATTATTAAATAATCCAGTATCTAACACCACTGGATCGCCCTGGTGATCAGGGAGGGCTCTTGGAATCTTTTTCACTGTTAAGTTTAAAATTCAAATCTTATACCTAACAGTTGGGGATAGAAAGCACGTCGTGAGAAATGGAAAGATAAGAAAAAAAAAAGTCCATTATCTAGTGAATGCTAGAGGGGAAGCCATCTTAAAAATTTGATGCTCTTTCGTCTGGATGTGGAGCTAGGAGCGGAGCTTCAATCACATTATTCTTATTTTCTGAGTACATTCAATGAAGGGACTTACCACTTCGGAAATCATGTGAATAAATGAATCCAATTGATAATTCAAAATCTCTAACGAATACTTTTAATTTCAAAAAAAATTTATTCAACACAAACCATCTGATTGAATCGACAGATTTTACAGAATTAATAATCCAGAAGAAATATGACAGCTACTAGCAAAATATTCAAGGCCTTATGGATATTTTTGAAGATTAAAATCCATTGTATATCAACTTCTATGATCTATCCATGAGAAATTTTTTTATTAGGTGATGACAAGAAATTACGCCAGAACCTTACGCATCATAAATTCCTGCAAATAAAATGAATTATTTTCCCTTTCCCCTGAATAGTCTCTAACCGTTGGATAATCTAGCAAGAAGAAGAAAGATGTTCGACAAGAGAGCCCAGTTTCAACTTTCAAGCCCGGCTGCAGATTGATGCCCAATGATAATTAGACTACACATGCCTAATGGCGGACTGACCCATATCCCTTTTTTTTCAGATGCCCGATGATAATGAGACTACACATGCTTAATGCCGATTCAATCCGGGACTGACAGGCTTTTTAATTTTTGAGAAGGGTGGGACTTAACAAACGAGGAAGGGACAGGGAATTTGAATCCAGAATTTTTCCTTGAAATCGTCTATCTCGAATTTCATTTCTGTCGTATTTGTTTTGTCCCTAATTAATTGTCACGTGTATTGATTAATAACTCTAAGAATTTTATTATGATATGTCCAATAATCAATAACTCTTAGAATTTTATTGGGAGTAAATTCAGTGGGAGTAAATTCAGCAGTACAATACACGTGATAGTTAAATAAAGACAGATTAGAGACAAAATTCCAGAGAGATGATTTGAAGCGTAGAATCTCTAATTTGTGAGGGTCCAATCCATTTAATTAGCGGCTCGATAGATACTATCCCTTCTTTTTGGGTGGGGCAATGGTTATTTTTTGAAAGGGTCACACATATCGAAGTTAATTTTCTGCTTTTTACCATTTCTTGAAGTTTGCTCTAACATGACAACACAGTCCAATATTGATCACTAGTTCATCCTGACCAGTAGTGTGGTTGTATGGTAGTACAAAAAATTGGTTTTCCACTAGATTCATTAGCATCATTTTTTGTTTGACTGACAAGTTCAATCATATTTCTAAGCAACTTCTTGTAGATACTGATAAAGTTCCTGAGCTCTGGACAGCATGATCATACGACCGGATCCAGCTATGGACTTCACCTCTTCAGGAGGGCTATGTTCGATCATAAACCTCTGAAATTCTTTCCCCAACAACTTGGTCATCTTCGCAGAGCACAAAGTCCCTTTTAATTGAACCATACTTTTCTTCTGTTAGCAAAGATTCCTTTGCCATGTCCTCTATAAAGAAAGGATGTGGTCTGACCAACATCTTTGCTAATTCTATGTCCTGCATGCAAAAGTAAATTAATCAGTGAAACGCGACCGATAAAATCAAAGTTCAGTCTAACGTGCAAAATGTATATACAAGCATATTAGTCTGATGTGACCAAAGGCATGTTAAGATAGATAAAATCGTGACCATCTGTGTTGTTTCAGCATTCATCATATCAATATCTGTATTTATTGTATTTTATGTCTACATTTGTTGTATTAATTTTACATTCTGGATTAAAGATTGACATCTTTGAATGTTACAATTTCTTTAGACGGGATCTTCTATTTTTACATACATTGTACGCCGATATAGGTGACCATTCTATCAAATTGCATAGTCTTTTTCTATCTGTAACTACAATTCTAAATGGAATTAATCATGACTTAGTTGACCAGTGTTTAAATGGTTTCTATTACTTTTCTTGATCCTTAGTTGATTGGATTGGCGGATGAGAGTCAAATTTCTAACCTTATGGCAGTAGCACTATGTGGGTTGGACATCCACCTATTAGTCGACCAGCTTAATAGCCAGAATTTTAGTACTTTGTATACTTTTCAACAGCTAGTGTGCAAAAAATTATTTGGTTTGGTAGTTAAGTTTAATTGGTCGTGTCATTTATCTGAGCAACTGATCACTTTCAATCAATTAGTAGGGACTTTACAAAAAGTAAATTATAATTTGACCATAGTGCAAGGAGAAATATTTTCTTTAATTCACCATAACATGCAAATGTTTCGATTGAGTCCTTCAACTTAAATTATAAATCCTTTATGCATCAATATATACATTCTGTAAATTGACCCTAAAATCTCCAATTGAGAAATGATCACTTTCACATTTGCACCACAAATTTGCAAGACCATCCTCTTAACAAAGTTTGTAAGAGGGATAAAAATAAAGTTGATTCAAATAAACCGATGACGGATTAATTAATGTTTAAGGTGATTGGAAGAAAAAATATGGACGGAGAAATTAAAAAGAAAATGAATTTTTGGAAGCGTTGATTCCTGCATTTCACATGATTTAGAGGGCTTTTATTGGAATTAATTCGGACGACAGTTAAAATTAATGATAAGGGATTAATACCTCTATTGCACAGGGTTGATACATTTTTGCAATGTAATCTGAACCAAGGACAACTGAGTTTGGCAGATTTCCATCACCTTGATCAAATGTAAACTTGCCGCCCATAACAGCCTCCATTGGGGTTCTCTTCAAATACTGCAATCCAAAATATTCAAACGTCAAAACTACCACAAAAAAAAAAAACTCTTGCTCAGTAGGTGACGGTAACACAAAAGAATAAGCAAATTTTGTTACGTTCTCATTGACCACCTCTTGAATAAAAACTACTGGCGGTTCTTTGAAATGGGGCAAATATGCTGAAACAAAAACAGCCACTGAAATCTTTCGAGGAAAACTCTGCATGGCAAGAGAAATGCATAGGCCACCATAACTGTGGCCAACCAACGCAAACTTTTCTTCATCAGATAGGGAGGCCATGAAATCCATCAATGGCTTCACATAATCAGACATTGAAGCAATCTCTTCAATCCTTTTGGGATGAACTCCACATGCACCAAGGTCCAATGCAGTGACTTGATGACCTGCCAATTTTTACAATGTAACAAGTTTGTGTCACCTCCAACCACCATGGCAAATCCCATGAACAAGAACAAAATGGTTTTTTCGTGTCCTTTCCATTTGATATTTTGATCTTTGTGAAAATTGGATTTCCTCTGATGAAGGGTTGGGTGATTGCTTTGTAGAATTTGAGACAGTGGGAAAACAAAAAAAAAAAAATTTTGATTGGAGAATATTAACTATGATCGGATTTTTTTTTATAATAAAAAATTTGGATAAATTTGGCTCCAATTAGCCATAGTTGGATATGATAAGTACAAAATGACAATTGACAAGTCATGTATGGAGCAAAGAATAGTCCATTTTATGTTTCTTTTTTAGACAAAAGGAGGTAATTAATTGGCCAAGTGGTAAAGCGCTATTATACTTTTACATAATCCAATCACCATTTCTTCGAGTTTTATGTTTGAAATTTTGAAGCTTCGTCTAGAATTTCTTCATTTGACTTTGTAACAAAATAAAATCATGTATTTCTCCATTTTTTAAAAATACGTTAGATGGCCAAAGGCTCATTACAAGATATCCCCATTACATCAAAATTCCAAACCTCCCTAACAGATTCAGGTGGTTCAATTAGAATTCGCAATCCAGCATCCTTCTTGTAAGAAGGTAACAAAATAAAATCATGTATTCGTTCAATTTCTTGGTCCGGAGATGCCAACTTCCACCTTTATCTTTATAAGAAGATAACAAGGTTCAATTTCTGTAAGGAAGCAGTATTCCTTATTTATTTTTTAATGATGCATCATTCTTGTATCGAAGGCTTGGTATATATTCCTTATTCTTTATTATTTTATTTGATAACATTTAAAATTTACATCTCTCCCTCCGATTATGCGATTTGCCATCAAAAAGAGGAAAAAAAAAAAGAGAAGGTTGACTAAATTACAAATCCACCTATGCCTACGTTGATTAGTTGACTAAATTAATTTTATCTGCATTAATTATTTTGGTTTTCACATATAAACATATACATGTGAACATTATAAAGCGTGTCATTTTTTTTTTTTTATTACAGTGCAAATGAGAGGACTCGAACACAGGGTCTCTCATTTACACTCTTTCTCGCCGAACAGCTCAACTCATTCCTCCCCAGTAAAGTGTGTCGTTAAGTAATGGTCTGGCTTTGAAACAGTCATTGTTTGACGGTAGCAAGTGTAAAATACATTTTTTTTTTTGAAAAAGTTTTAAATTGTAGACATTTATTTGACATTTTAAATTGAATAAAAAAGTAATGACATTATCAAAACAAAATGAAAAAACATCAATCAAAATAAGATACGATACATACTACTTGCAAAGTAGCTAAAATTATTTAGTATAATGGAACGAACTCGTCTTTGTGAGGGAAAAAAATGAAATAAAAAAGAGAAATTAAACGAACAAAGGAGTTTGCCATCTGCCACAAAACATCCAGAGGGAAGCAAGAAGTGGGTGGGATTCATGCCCAATAAACACATAGTTGGCCGAGTTCTCTTGTGTTGGGTTTGAGCACTTCTTTTAGACTTCTCGCACTGGGTCTTAGTCATTGGGTTTCATCAACTTAGACGAGGTGTTTTGGCCCGTCCTTAGAGGCCTTTGTTTCATGTAATTAAACAAAATAAAAAAGGAAAAATTAAATAAATCTCTCCTCTGTTTTCTGCAACATTTGGGGATCTCCTCTCTTGATTACAAAATTATATGGAAAAAAAGAGTTTTTATTCTTTCCTAAAAGGAAGAAAAGGAGAGTTATATTCACAAAAATTGAAAACTTCCTGCAAATGTGATTTTTATTTCAGGCTTTTAATTTTCATCTATCAAAATAAAACTTCCAATGGTACATTTATCAAATCTTTTAAAACTGCAAAATTGCTACTAATATCTATGTGAATATTAGATAATAGAATTAGACATCAACTTGGAAAGCTAAGATAGAAAAAAGCATTTTGATTTTAATTTATAAAAAAAGATAAACTAGCTCTATCCCTTTTTATAATTGTTTTGAAATATTTAATATTTATTTACGTCATTGTAAGGGCATTTTGGGGACATTCACTTGAATTTATGACAAAACTAATTCATTTACTTCCCTTAAAAAAGTGCTAGAAAAGTTTTTTCCTTGTTACCTAACAAATAAGTGGAGGTCTGAATCAAGAGAGGAGGTTCTTGACTTTGCTAAAACTAGAAGAGAGGTTTCACCCTAACAATAATTATCCACCTAGTGAGCAAATCCACTCCAAAACTTCTAAACATGCTTACGTTTGCCTCTCAGTTCCGGAAACGGAGGCACACAAGTTGAATTCTATTCAGTTCAAATTTATTCGTGTAGTTCTTACAATTTTTTATATAAATTTGTATATCTTAGATGTAAATTTAAATTTGTTGACTCATATGACTAAGTTGACGATTAAATTAAAACTGTACCAATTTACACCAAATGTAGTAAGAATTACACAAGTCGGTTTGAACTGGATAGAATTCAGCTCGTGAGGCTTTGAATCCCTCAATTCTTATATCATGAATGCAACGTACTAAATGACTAGAAGAGAATATGTTGAATCCAAAGCCTTTTGATTTTCATATGTGAAAGAGAACGTTCTTTCTCCGTCTGAATTATGTGTAAAATACTACTGATATGTTACTATTTTCAATTTTGAGATGCTTAAGAGATCCCCACGGAACTTCCAAATCTGATTGCATTCCGAATCATGATCAGCCACACACATTCTTCATAATTTTCAAGCAGTCATATGCAATGTATTCTTCGAGGAGGGAAACCAACAAACCCACAGACCAGTAAAGAATACTAGAAAAGCTTAATCTTCAACTGCTCTATTATTGTTTGCATAGAACAGTCTTCTGGATTTGGATTTATTGGAAGATAGACAATGTATGGACAAATTAGTGACTCAAAATTTCTCAGGTTGTGGGCGGAGCTGGACAACTTTTCTGCCACACGTGGGTTGACCATCTTCAAGGTCGGGAGTGAAAGACAATTCCTAATCACTTATTTTGCAGTGGAGAAATATTTCTTCGTACATTGAACTGTGTGCTCGTGCAAACTTAACATGTTCAAGTAAAGGATTAGAATTTGAAAAGAAAGGAAGGAATTATTGGTCATAATTCAAAATTTGTTCTTTTGAAGAAATCGTACATAATCATAGAAGGAATTTTATTTGGGATAATTTCAGAAGCCTCCCCTATGGTTTGTGAAATTATCATTTAATACTCTTGAACTTTGAGAACTCTCACTTACATCCCTTATTTTCAACTTATTGTAACATATTATCAACTCAATTCAAAAAAATATATTGAGAAAATTGTCCTTGTATTATCCTATTATTTTTCCAAAAGTGAACTTATATTACTAAAGGCTGAAAATAAAGGCATATAGTGTGAAAATATAGTTCTAAGAGAAAAAATTATATCAATAGGTATTTTTAAGGTACAAAATATTACAATCTAAGAGTATTTTTAAGGTGCTTCAAGCTAAAAATATTATTTCGTTCAATGTAAGGTGTTTTCATTAATTTTAAGAATTTTGAACTTTCTAAATTTATTTGTATAGGCCAAAGACTTGAATATCAGAAACAGACACAATATCTAAACATATGTTTACAAACTCATTTGAGGTGTTTTCGAAAACGTAAAAGTAACTTTCTTTATAACAAAATATTTTCGGATAAATTTAGAATTTTATAAATTGTTTAGAATTTTTCTAATGTGATAACTTTGTGCCTAAATCAATGGCTTGAAAACAAGAGAAAGAATATATTTAGAAACTTATTTGAGGCATTTTCAAGACTCAAAATGTTATTGGTCATAATTCAAACTTTGTTATTTTAAAGAAATCTTACATAATCGTAAAAGAATTTTACCTTGAGAGGGTGAAGTTTAGTATATCTAAACTTAATCATATGACTTAAAATATTTTTTGCTTTTCAGAGGCAAGAGTTTAAACTTATAAACAATATATTTGAAATTTTTTAACTTTCTAAAACTTGGAGATGGGGGGAGGGGCAGCTATTCTTGCTTGCAGTACTTTTCCTTTCCTTTGGGTATTATGTGGCTGATATCAAGTCTATGGTCCAATAGCTGCTCTATTTTCTTTCTTCTTTTTTGGGTTAATCCAACGTAGTATTTGGCTTGCAATTCGTAGGCATTAATGATTAATGTTTCATTTTGGTGGTTGTTATCAAGTTGCAAGTTGGAATTTCCTCAAAAAAAAAAAAAAAAAAAGTTGCCAGTCAGAAGAAGTCACCGTCCAGCACCATGTCCTGGATATAAAAGTATGGAGGGCTGGATTCTTCTTTGTTTTGGGCTACTGAATTCTAGTCTATATAAAACAACATATACTGCTTGCTTTTTCTGTGGGTATCATTGATTTTTACTTTTAAATTACAAAGCTATAATTTTACTTTTAAGGGTGCTGTGACATCTTTTCCTCTACATACAGAGGGGGGAAAATAAGTTTGAGTTCCAAAACCACGCTGTAACTTAGTATTCTTCATTCCAATGTCAATATCATACCTCATCTTTTTAGATGTCTTAAAATAAGATTAATTTTTTGAAAGCAATCTTAACAGGTCAAACTTAATTTGAACATTTAAAATTACATTTTTCTACGAAAGAAATTATACACTTTTTGTGAGTAGAATTTTAACTCTAGGATTTAATTTGGTTGGCACTTATCCAAAATTACATCATCTTGACATAAGGATCACATTTGCATAAAACATTAAACTACTCCAACTTCTGTAGGCGTGAGTAACAATTTTCTTACGTATTTTTTGAATTAGAAAGAAAAATAAAGATGGGTATCTGAAGAATTCTTTTTAATTAGAAATCCGGAGTTTTTAAGAAAAATTAGGATGAGTACGTGTTTTGTGTGTGTGTGTGTGTGTGTGTTTTTTTTTTTTGACGGTATATATTACAAGGTTCAAAGATACAACTATTAAAACTAAGAAAGGGTCTATGTAACAAACAATATTGAGTTCTCTAAGTTAGGGCATCCCAAGTGGACTATTTTAGACGAACTAGAAGATAATCGTGTATCTTGCTGAATATTGTAGTACAAAATGTTTTCAACATGTGGAATTGGAATTTAATCTAGATTCCACTTGAAAGTATATTCTTGCAGGTGTGAATTAAGAAAAAGGAAAGAAAATACAGAAGCCTGTACAAATGAGTGTCTCCTTCTGGCACGTGGTTGAATTAACATCCGTTGTGATTTTTTTCTAGAAATATTTTGTTTATACGGCCAGTTTTTACTAGAAATTATTGGTTCTATGACTTGCTAAATTTTCTAATTGGTAGACAGGTGGAGATGGATAATGTCTAGACGAATTGGAAAGAGATGTGTTTACTATATTCAAAGCACATGGCGAAGTCCCTTTTCCCTCGATTTGATGCCATCAGAAGAAGCCTTAATGAATCTTCTCTTTCATATAAGGTTGAAAAGAATGACTTGTGAGAAAAGTTTAGGTCTTGATTCCAATCGTCACTGTCTTAGAGCAGTTCTAATTTTGTCATAGATGGAATTTTTCCTTC